CCCTTCTCTCCCCGCATCCCTTCCCCTCCATCCCATCCTCACCCTCTAGCCTCTGCTGCCTCTCGCCTGGACTAGTGAGGCCTCTGCCTCCTGGGCCCACCCACCAGGCCTTCCTGTATGCAGGACCCATCTCTGCAAACACCACTTCTGCCAAAGATGCTGAATGAATATTACATGATATTAAGGAACTGCTGTGACTTTTTAGGTAAATTATGGTATTACAGTTTTGTTTTAGGAGTACTTATCTTTCAGAGATGCACACTGGAATATTATAGACAAAGGGGTGTGATGTCTGGGATTTCATAAGAAATAAAAAGGAAGATGTGAGCAAGCAGGATATAAATGAAACAAGATTGGCCATGAGTTGATAATCATTGAAGCTGGGTGATGGGTAAACAGGGATTTATTACACGAGTCTACTTTTTTTTAATCTGTTTGAAATTTTCCATTAAAATAAACTTTCAAAGGGTCGCTCTTGCTATGAGAATGTGTAAGAACAGCCTGGAATCCGACTTCCCATGCTGTCTTTGCAACTGCATCTCCCACTGGGCCTCGGGCTCACTGATGTTACCTTCTGAAAGCTTAACATATTTGGGCTCCTGTGGGCATGGCACGGACCCCCTCACCAGACAGACACCAGGAAGTACAGCAGGGATCTGATCTGGCTGGAAGGATGGAGGGGGCAGGGAAGGCCTCCCAGAGTAGTTCCCACCTGCTCGTGGCAATGTTTTTCTCCTTTTCCCCAAGTCCTCCCCCTACCCCCCATATAAATGCATGCCTTTCTACAAGGACATCTTAAATCCTACCTCCTGTGACGCTGTCCCTGCCCTCCCAAAGCAAGATGTGGTCCCACGGGGGTCCTAAGAGCTGCAGCACCTACTGTTTACAAAGGGACCACACACTCAAATGCCTAGAGAAGCTGGTCAGGTGGCCCTTGTCTGAGGGGCCAAGACAAGTCCAAGAGCAGACGGCGTGCTGGTTCTACGGTAAACCAGGGGCACAAGTCCACCTAAAGTGCCAGCCCATCGTGGCTGGGCTTGAACGTGGACCCAGTGGTAACTGAGCCTCCACCACTTGGAGCAAAGCTGGATTTTACGTATTACCCATAATATAATTTCGTATTACATTATCTGAATTTTTTATACAATATAACCATAATATATATTTTTTCATGTAAGAGTTCATTAAGAAATCAAGATTTTTATACGAAATCTTCAAACGAAAAAAATTTGGCTCAAATATTTTAAAAATATTTTGTGTTTTTAGGGCAACGTAACTACTCTATAATGGTGGCTACCTGTCATTATAAGTTTGTCTAAACCCATAGAATGTGCAACACCAAGAGTGAACCCTGATGTAAATAAACTGTGCTCTTTGGGTGACTATGATGTGTTAATGCAGGTCCATCGATTGTAACAAATGTACCGTTCAGTGAGGGATGTGGATAATGTGCAGGGACAGGGTGTATGTAGATGGGAACTCTCTGTACCTTCCACTCAATTTTGCCTTGAACCTAAAACTGCCCTAAAAAAGAAAGTCTATTAAAAATACAAAACAAACAAAAGACCAACCAACCAACAAAAAAACACCTTGTGGACCAAACCAACTGTATCTGTAGTTCAAATCAAGCCCCAGACTGCAAGTTTTTAACTTCTGACCTGCTTCATGACATTCGACACTTACCAGGTATTAACCTAGCTTTCTTTTCACATATGTGTCTTTTTGTCAGTTACTGGCTCCTTGGTAGACAGAAGTCACATTTCACCACACTGGGGCCTGGGGGATGGGAACGAGTCTCTGTCCACCAGGTACTTACTTCTGAGTGGCTTCCATTTCCAGCAGGGCAGACAGAGCTGAGGTTCCCTTCTTCCCAACCGGGGGGCCGGTCGACTCGAGGGAGTGGGTGGGGATGGGCCCAGCCATCTGCAAGCCTTTCATGGTGGCCCCTTTCTAAAGCATAGAGGAGGAGACAGGCCATCAGATGCTGCTGCGTCTGCTGTGCCTCAGACTCTGGGAGCCCATCAGTGCAGTCGGGGAAGACGGGGTCTCAGGATCAGGAAATGCCAGGAAACGGCTTTTCGCTTGAACTGAAGGTCCCAAATAACTGTGGACTCAAAACACACTGCCTCCTTGAGGCGGTTTACGTATAGCATCTCATTTCATTCTCAATCACCGGTTCAAGGAAGTAAATAACATCACATCTAATTTATGGAAAAAGAAGCTGAGTCTCAGAGAAGTGAAGTAACTTATCCCAAATCGCACTGCAGCTGGAATTCAAACTCCAGTTAACTGACTTCAAAACCAAGGTTCTGGGCTTCCCTGGTGGTGCAGTGGTTGAGAGTCCGCCTGCCGATGCAGGGGACACGGGTTCGTGCCCCGGTCCGGGAGGATCCAACATGACGCAGAGCGGCTGGGCCCGTGAGCCATGGCCGCTGAGCCTACGCATCTGGAGCCTGTGCTCCGCAACGGGAGAGGCCACAACAGTGAGAGGCCTGCGTACCACAAAAAAACAAACAAACAAACAAACAAAAAAACACCAAGGTTCTTTCCACTACATAAGCTCTCCCAGAAATGATGCTGTGTACGAGAGGCAGCTGGCCTGGGTTAAAGAACACTGAACTTGAGGTTAAAAACAAAAAGTAAAAACACGGCTGATGATGGAACACTACTCAGCAATGGAAAGGAATGAACCGTGGATTTGAGCGACAAGTTGGATGAACCCCAAAGGCATTATGCTGAGTGAAAGAAAGCAGACTCGAACGGTTACGTATCGTATGATTTCACTTATAGGACATTTGGAAAAGACAACAGTATAGTGATGGAGGACACACCAGTGGCTGCCAGGGGTTAGAGATGGGGGACAGTGTGACTCTAAAGGGTAGTGTGAGAGTTTTTTTGCACTGTTGGAACTATTCCATGTCCTGATTGTGGTGGTGGGGGTGGTTATGTGAATCTATACATTTGTAAAATTCACAGAGCTGTATGTGTACACACACACACACACACACACACACACACACACACACACACACACTGAATCATCCCAGATCAGCCCTTTATTAGTTCAGTGTCCTCAGACACATCCCATCACCCCCACAAGCCTCAGCGTCCTCACTGGGGAGTGAGTGGTTGAATGAAGGCCCAAGGGTGCAGGAAACACTACAAGTGACACTGCTGCTGTCACCCTCTTGAGCGAGTTTCTATCCAGCAATCCAGCACCAGCAATCCAGTCACATAAGCAGCTGTGCCTGACACCGGGTCCCCAGTGGGGAGCTCACAAAGGACTATCCTCGGGTCAGAGGCGTGGCCCCAGCCCGGTAGCTGGCTGTGTACCCCCCTTCACCCTGCTCTGGAGGAGAACCCACTGCTTTGGACTGAAGATAAATGCTGGGCAGCTGTGGAGTAAAGAAACTGGCTGGCAAGAGGCCCCAGACACAGGAGGAGACAGTCCCTGCATCCCAGACCGGGCCCAGCCCCCAAGGGGTCCATGGTGTCTCACCCGCATCATGCGATCGGAGCGGTGCCGCCGGCGGATCCGGTTTAGGCCCTCCACGAATCGGATGAAGCCATCCAGGAGCTGCCATTCCTCCTCGTCTGCCCGGGGCCTGTCCCCATAGATGTCACAGTGGGCCTCCCCCTCCGTGATGCGCTTGGTGGCGGTGACACAGGCCGGCAGCAGCAGGAAGCGGGTCCTCCAGAACTTCAGAGACTCGATTAAGCTACAGAGGGCCAGAGGGGAAAAGGGGTGGTGGTGAGAAAAAGTAGATGTTAAAAGCACCCCAGTAAGCATCCCATCTCAACACCCACGCCCCCGGGAGTGAGGGTGCGAGCGTCCATCTGCCCAGGAGCACGTGCTCATCTGATGCTGCATTTCACGCAGGCTGAGAGGGATGAACTCCAAGGCTGCTTTTACTTTCTATCCCAGAGACGTCAGAATGCTTCTGTGCACCCAGGCCCAGTGCCGCTGTGGCCTTTTATCATCACAACCATAAATCATGCATAAAAATGAAAAATTAAAAACAAGATGTCACAGGGAATTCCCTGATGGTCCACTGGTTAGGACTCGGCACTTCCACTGCTGTGCGCCCAGGTTCAATCCCTGGTCAGGGAACTAAGATCCTGCGTGCCTCGTAGCATGGCCAAAAAAATAAATAAAATAAAATAAAAACAAGACGTCACAAAGCTTTTATATATAGAATGGATAAACAACAAGGTCCTACTGTATAGCACAGAGAACTATATTCAATAACCTATGATAATAAAAAACAGTGAAATAATGCTATTTGCAGGGATATGGATGGCCCTAGAGATAGTCATACTGAATGAAGTAAGTCAGAGAAAGACAAATATCATATGATATCACTTATATGTGGAATCTAAAAAAAAAATGGTACAAATGGACCTATTTATAAAATAGAAATTGAGTCACAGATGTAGAAAACAAACTTATGGTTACCAAGGGGGAAAGGGGCGGGGAGGGACAAATTGGGAGACTGGGATTGACATATACACACTACTATATATAAAACAGATAACTAATAAGAACCTACTATATAGCACAGGGAACTCTATTCAGTACTCTGTAATGACCTACATGGGAATAGAATCTAAAAAAGAGTGAGTATATGTATATGTATAACTGATTCACTTTGCTGTACAGCAGAAGCTAACACAACATTGTAAATCAGCTATGCTCCAATAAAAAAAAAGAAAAAAATTTATATGAAATCATCACGTTGTACACCTTCAATATGTACAATTTTTGTCAATTATACCTCAATAAAGCTGAAAAAAGATTTTTAAAAAATCCTATGATAAACCATAATGGAAAAGAATACAAAAAAAAAAGAATGTATATATGTGTATAACAGAACCACTTTGCTCGACAGCAAAATGAACACAACATTGTAAATCAACTAGACTTCAATTAAAAAAAAAAAAGATGTCACAAGCAGTCAGGAAAATGTGAAGAGCACTGACATTCCACCAAAGAGCACATCTTGGGACTTCCCTTGTGGCACAGTGGTTAAAACTCCGCACTCCCATTGCAGGGGCCCAGGTTTGATCCCTGGTCAGGGAACTAGATCCCACGTGCATGCCGCAACTAAGAGTTCACATGCCACAACTAAGGAGCCTGTGTGCAGCAACTATGGACCCAGAGAGCCACAACTAAGGAGCTCATGTGCTGCAACTAAAGAAGCCCATCTGCTGCAACTAAGGAGCCCACGAACCACAACTAAGGAGCCCACCTGCTACAACTAAGAGCCGGTGCAACCAAATAAATAAATAAATATTTTTTTAAAAAAGAGCACATCTTCACCAGGCTTTTTGCTGTTTTTTGTTGTTTCATGCGGTAAAATATCCATAACAAAGTTTACCACTTTAATGATCTCTAAGTGCACAATTCAGCAGCATTCAGTACATTCACACTGTTGCACAACCATCCACGTCCATCTCATCACTGAGTTTTTAACCCAATGAAGATGTGCTATTTCCCTCCATTTTCTTTTTCTTTTTTCTAAAACAGGCATCATTTTGCAATCAGGAGAAAGGACAGAGACATTAAAATACGGACACACACAAGGTGGCGAGGATGGAAAGTGAAATTGGGGTCTCTGACCTGAAGTCCTCGGAGCCAGCAGAGCAGATGTACTGGTCTAAGTAATTCCACTTGTACTCCTCCAGCCGCTCGTGCGAGAATTCCACCCAACAGGAGACAAACTCCGAGTCTGAGTGGGAGGGGCAGAGGCTGTAGGTGTAGTGGATCTGGGCAGATTCGTAAGGGTACCTGAAAAACAAAGGGCGTGGCCTGAGGTCCAAACAAGGATCCCCCCCTCCCCCCAAGTCTCCTGTACCTTTTCTCTCTCAAGACACTTAGCAGTCTTGGCACTCGACCCTCGACCACAGTAACCAAAACTCATCCCAGGGGACTGGTAATGGAGATTTCTCAGTTCTTCTTAAACTTTCTCATTCTTCTAGCCTCATACTCTTTATTTTTAATTGGCATGTTAAGACTCATGCTAAACATTATAAGCTGGATCAAATCTCTTTTGGAAGTAGGTGAGCTACAACCATAAAATACAACCCTAGAGAGCAAAACAGTAACTCTGAAAGAAAAACCAATTACTCAACCTCCTTGGTTTGAATTACGTGTTATACACATAATTCAGTATGTAGACAGTATGTGTTAGAAACATAACTTAGTAGTTGGACATAATTTAGGACAGAGCTGAAAACTTTAAATACCCAAGGACTCACTTGGGAAGGTATCGGGTCACTGTGATCATCTTATCCTTCAGTGTGACTTTGTGGAAAGTTCTGCCCATGCTCAGCCAGTACTGGTCTTCCTCCTCAGGGCGGTTTCGGGACACAAGGCCTAATAGGGAAAAAAATGAATAATTTCCTCCATCTGGTTGAGGGTCAGTCCTTTAACAGGTAATTGCTTCTCTTCCATACAGATTTAGAAAAGGAGAAACAAAAGAGGCAACACTTTCTTTCCAGGGGCAGTTTCATGGAAAAGAAATATTCTTGGTTTAAAAAAAAAAAAAAGTCCTGAAGTGGGCAGATTTTTCTGTTACTGAACCAGCCAGGAGGTTAGAGCCTGGGGGTGCCTACAACAGCTGGCCGAACAGCCCAATGCCTCATCCTCTGTGAAGGAAAGTTCCGGAGTAGATGTTAATTGACTAAAATGGAACTCCACTCCTCTCAGGCACAAGCTGCCACCTGGCATCTGAGGCCCTCAACTGCAGGGGTGGCCAACCTAGCTTTCAGCCCTCAGCCCCCGTGACGCCCACACTGCTGCACCACGTTTCAGACTCATTTGCTCGAATTTCCTTCTCCAAACATTTGCTCCTGTTGCTTCTTCTGCCCTCTCTTCCTGGGCGACTGTTGAAATCCTAGGGATCATTTAAGGTCACCATCAAATGCCACTTCCTCCAGAAAGCTATCAGACCCTATCAGCAGTGAATTCTACCCTGGATGTAGCTCCTTGTGTGCCTCTGTCTCACACCCTGACAAACCAAAAGTTCCAGGAGGCCAGGACCCAAATCTTGTTCGTCTTTGTATTTTCAGTAGCACCTGATAAAGTGCTATTTCACAGAAAAGGAAGTAGGCAACCTGGCTGGAGCCAGACACGAAAAGCAGATTCATCCCACTGCTCTTGGGATAAAAACAAAATCCTTCACGTGGGCCTGTGCAGCCTAGGTCTCCTGACATCTCCGGCCACATTGCTGCCTTATTCCCAGTGCTCTCCACGCCGGTCTTCTTTTGGGTGCCTAGAAAGTCTCACGAGGTCTTCCAGCCAACAGGGCCTTTGCACATACTAACCCTGCTGCCTGGCATGCTTAGCCCACCTGTTCCTGCCCTCCACTCCTCTCTCACTAAAAACTCCTCCATGTGTTTCAGGTACAGCAGCAGCTCAAACATCAACTCCTCAAAGAAGCCGCCCCTGACTGTCCAGACCAGATCAGGTCCTGTATTAAATATTCTCGCAGCCCTCTGATTTTTCCCTCACAGTCTTTATTGCAACGTGGAATTGTATATCATAGTTTGACTAATGTTATTTTCCCCCACAGAGCAGGAGCTTCAAAAATATTAATGAGGGGCTTCCCTGGTGGAGCAGTGGTTGAGAGTCCACCTGCCGAGGCAGGGGACACGGGTTCGTGCCCCGGTCCGGGAAGATCCCACATGCCACAGAGCGGTTGGGCCTGTGAGCCATGGCCGCTGAGCCTGTGCGTCCGGAGCCTATGCTCCGCAACGGGAGAGGTCACAACAGTGAGAGGCCCGTGTACCGCAAAAAAAAAAAAAAAAAAAAAAAACAACTAATGAGGACTTCCCTGGTGGCACACTGGTTAAGAATCTGCCTGCCAGTGCAGGGGACATGCGTTCGATCCCTGGACCAGGAAGATCCCACATGTGGCGGAGCAACTAAGCCCGTGCACCACAACTACTGAGCCTGCGCTCTAGAGCTCGCGTGCCACAACTACTGAAGCCCACGCACTCTAGGGCCCGTGCTCCACAACAAGAGAAGCCACCGCAATGAGAAGCCCGTGCACCGCAACGAAGAGTAGCCCCTGCTCGCCACAACTAGAGAAAGCCCGCACGCAGCAATGAAGACCCAACACAGCCTAAAAAAAAAAAATACTATTGAACGAATGAATGAACACAGTCATATATTCATCAAGGCACACTGCTGTACACCAGGCACAGTGGTTTCCGTGGTGGAGGACAACAAGATGCAGCTGAAATCATCCTGGCACTCAGAAAGGTTACTATTCAGTAGAGTATATGTGTGAAAAAGGCATCACGTGATACATATCACAAGGGGCTTTTAGAGAAAATCCAGAGGGAATCCAAAGCTTCGTCGTGAACAACAGGGCCTGGACCAGAGGACTGCTAAGCTCCCATTAACAGGTCCACGCTTCTTTGATCCTCTAACCAGAGGAGATTTTTTTTAAATTTTTGGTTGCATTGGGTCTTCATTGCTGCACACAGGCTTTTCTCTAGTTGCGGTGTGTGGGCTTCTCACTGCAGTGGCTTCTCTTGTTGCGGAGCACAGGCTCTAGGCGAGTGGGCTTCAGTAGTTGCAGCACACAGGCTCAGTAGTTGTGGCTCCGGGCTCTAGAGCGCAGGCTCAGTAGCTGTGGCACATGGGCCTAGCTGCTCTGTGGCATGTGGGATCTTCCCGGACCAGGCTCGAACATGTGTCCCCTGCGTTGGCAGGCAGAATCCTAACCATTGCGCCACCAGGGAAGTCCCCAGAGGAGCTTTAATGAAGCCAAAGATGGCCTGAGGTTTGGTGCTGGCTGGTTAGGGAGGAGGGGAGCTCATTAGCTACAAGGAGGAAGCAAGGGACTCTCAAATGCTCAGTGATGGTTCCAGGAAGTGACCGCCACTGTGTGGTTCCAGGCCCCTGCACGTAATTCTCGCTGCCTGACTTGTTTCAGAGGAGTCCTCCAGAGCCCAGCTCTGACTCAACCGGTGCCACTGAGTCTCCGCCACTCACTAGCCTCTGCCACTCACGGACAAACCATCCCGGCTTCAAGTCACTGAGCTGCAGTGACAAACAAGAGAACATGAATCCAGAATGAAAAAAAAAACCCAAAAAACAAC